CCTCTTGGTGTTTACTTGTCTGTGTTGAGAAACTCCATCACAGTCTGGTTGTCTCTCCTTCTAAGTGGGTTGGTGCTGGTGAGTGGGTGAATGTAGAGCAGGGAATGTGCAGCCCCTTGGCTTGGCTGAGTGAGAGGAACTGCACAGCAACAGCAGGTGCTCGAGCACACAAGCCCTGACACATCATCTCAACCCTTCATTTTTCACATATACTGACAAGCTCATCCTGTACATCTCACTTTCTTCCCAAGTGGGACTTCCTTGCCATCCCCCTCTTTTAGGCAGGTGTTGTGAGAGGGGACATACATCAAGTTGTACTGGATTACATCTCTAAGCATTGTGTTAGCAGAAGAAAATGCAGTGACAGGAAGACTGGCTGCTGCTCATTTGCTATTTAAATTGCGTGTTCTTAAAGACAGACAAGATGGTGTAAAATGCCTATTTTTACTGTACTTGGTACATGATTTAGAAATTGTTTCTTTAGGGAGAGTATCTAAATTATTTGACATCCATTTAGAGATTTTTTTTTTTCATCCTTCGTTCTTATATTCACACAAAATATTCTTAGTGGTTAAGAAAAGTGCATGAAGACTGTACTGAAATACAAACATTTGTAAATGCTGATTTTTATGTTTTTGCAGTATGATTTGTGCTAGGGATTAGACTCTGGTCTCCTGTTGAAGTGAATGCCTGCAGATCAGATTGGTATACCAAAAGCTGGTTATGAGTGAAAAGTGAGAAAGTTCACCTCAAAGGATTGCTTCTAACAGGACTATGTTTTTAATTTTATGTAAAATTGTAATTTGCTGTTTTGCAACTCTGCATATGCACTTCCACTCTCTGGTGTTTGAGACAGAAGAACTCAAGTGTTGTTGGATTACTTTCTGTGGCATTTTAGCATCAGTAGTGGTCAGTGTGAATTGCTGCAATTGAAAGAATTTAGGCTTATGTAATGGAAGACAAGAAATTTGTGTCAGTTTTATATAATCCCAGTTTTAATTCTGTCTTCCTGCATAGCTTAATGCCACACTGTATAGGTAAGATTGTCATTGGAAATTGTTTTAAAATTGACAGCCTTCATCTTCTCACATGAACATGTTGTATACCCATCCTGAATAATCACCGAAGTAAGGACTGAGAGCCAGAAAATAATACTGAGTTGGACCACCAAGTTGTCTGGGCGAGAAGTAAGGTGGTGTAGCAGGCTGTGGTCTGCCTGCAGATTTCCCAAGATTAGAACTGGCACTTGCAGCTGCCAAGCAGTGTGGTACTGCAGGCCTGAAGAGTACCTCACTGTTCTGGTGTATTTCTTGTCCTGTGCCTTGTTGTGCTTAGTTGTGAGCATGAAGATTTATTGTGCTTTGAGTAGACAACAGTCAATTTGCCACAGTTAAAAGTAATATTCTGTAATGTAAAATGTGAAAACCAGTGTTGGAGATCTTTCTGTCAGTCCTGACACTTGTATCAGACTGAAAGCAAATGCAGATGATGGATCTATTGCTCTCCTCAGAGCAGACTGTTTTCTGCAATGAGATACCACTCTACCAGCAGGGCACCCTATGGAAAAGTTGTGTTGGGTTTTTTTCCTTTCTGTTTTTGAGAGATGGAATTATGAAAGCAGGTCAGATGCAGGTTGGGGTTATGTGCCTGGTTGTGAGTATGAATTTTGATTTCTTTCCCAGTCCTTATTCCAAGTAAGTCTCAGGGGAATGTTCTGTTTAGCAGAATGACTATAATTAACTATTTGTTTAATTATAGCTTTGGGATTTTTCTGTGTCTATAAGTATCTCTCTTTCTTATACAGCAGCATATATTGGCATATTTCCCTTCATGGAAAGTATATTCAGAAGTTGTGGTAATAGTCACTACAGGTTTTGAAACAAGATTTCAGTGCAGGATTTAAGGCAGAGCTCCTTCAGCAGTTGTGGCCACCTGTTTTCATACCAAATTCTGTGTTCCTCCCTTATGCAGGTATACACACAGAGCTGTACCCAAGTACTCACAGACTGACTCCAAGTGCCACCTTTACCCTTCTCACACTCTTCCAAGCCCCTTTTGGGTATCCCTGCCTCCATGCCAGCTGCAGCACCAGCTGTGCATTGATGGTGGTGGATGGAGATGAGTCTTGTGTTCTGCAGGTTGACATTGGTGTTGTGGCACCTGGCAGGACCTTCTATTAAAGGTCCTTGTTTCAGTGTGAGTTGAGGTATGCTTTGACTCTCCCCAAAATCCAGCTTTTTTCTGTCTATTCAGCTTGGCAGGGAGGGAGAAAAATCCTAAGGTTGTTTATTGTTAGGTTGCACCAGAAGAAAGCCCCCATGTCGGAATGTAAATACAGTGAGTAGAGCAGGGGATCTGGCTGCTGATGGGACTTATCCCCCTAGAGCTGTTTGGATTTACTCATCTGGCTCGGGCCCTGCTTACACCTGTCAGCTGAGGGGGACAGTGCCAAAGCAAGGAGTGAGTGAATGTCCTCTTGGAGCTTTGCCTGGCCAGCTGGCAACATACATCATCAGCCAAGCTTTCCCTTCCTTCTCCTCCTCCACAGCCTTGGACATTCAATATGTATGGCCATGCCCTCCCACCACAGGGAAAGAAGGTGGGTTTAAGCCCCATCAGCACCTAACCCTTTCTCTTTCTCTTTCTCTTTCTCTTTCTCTTTCTCTTTCAGAAAGAAAGAAAGAAATTTCCTCCTTTTAATTTATTTTTAAAAAATTTTTTTCACTTCCATGGTGATCTCCACTAGAATGGACATATCATGCCCGTTGGAGCCCACACCTTAGCAAGACAAAGCTAGCTCATGGTGCTGAAACTTTTAATGGAGTTTTACAAGGAGAGAATAGGAAGAGCCCACCAAGTAGGACTGGCCCCAGAAAGAGCTTAGAAGCAGATTGAGTTTGTCTACCTTAGAATATGAGGCCTGTTCACTCAGATATGCTTCTTTCTAGCTTCTTCTGGTAATGCCATGCTCATATTCATCATCATACTGCCATTTTCCAAAGCTGTCATCCTGTCATCCTTATGTCAACAAACCTCCCACCAATTTGGGTGACAGACACATTTTAGGTTCAGCTCCTGTGGGGAGGGTGTGATGACCCTTCCTTCAAAACAAGCCAGTCTTTGTCTGCCACTGTGATGAAGCAGTGTTCCTGTCCATCTGCCAGGGGGGTGTTTGGGAACACTGCATTAGTAAGCTCAGTCATATCATTACTGCTTTTTTTTTGCTTTTTTTTTAAGTCAACCCTACATCCCTGTTGTATTTAATATTGTAGTATTTTCCCATGTGCAAATGGAGAATAGTACCACAAAATGTCACAAAAAATAAGTTGATTCGTTAAGCAATAACTTTAGGCAAAACCTGAACATTCAAAATTTATAAAGACGTATTTTTCCCCTTTTCTATCAGTATATAACTACTGCTTATAAAAGATTCGCATCTTAGACTGGACTAGATGCTTTTATACTGTGACGCCTTTTGCTTGCTGATAAATGCATTTGCAGTACTTCAGTAACCCTCCTTTAACAGCCTCTTCTTCAAGTTCTTGCAATATAAACCTTCTGGATGAATGAGTTGTCACATGCAACATAGCCCAAGTTGGCTCCATGGCATGCTACCATAATTTTCATTTGTTAAAGAGTCTTAGGACTGCTAGGAAGGTATTTTGTGTGAAGTGGATGGTGTTTATTACTTCTGTCAAATAAACTTAACACTCCAGACTCCAAGCATAAATTACTAAAATCAGGAAGCAAAGAATGAGGTCTTATACATACTTGAGAGTAAGAAAAATGAGAAGTTTTTTCAGCAGATAAGACTTTTGCCAACTTAGAATGTTCTACAGCCTGATGTATGGCATCATTTAACCAGCAGCTATATTAAGAAAAGACAGCCTGAAATAAGTACAGGAATTCACCCAGTCACCTTAGCTGAACTTACAGTGATTTGGTGACCTCTCTTGCTCTTTGCTTACTTTTAATCCAGAATCCATCTGCCTTTCTTAATTTGCTTCTGCTAAGGCTTTTACACAGTGATTATGTTGTGAAGAATGTTTTGGTGCTGTCCCATCAGTGTTTGGACCTTTGCATCAAGTAGACCTTCCTACCCAATTTTTTTCATGTTACCATTCCTGTGGTCTTGCTGTGGTCATGTTGCATTAGAAAGTGTATGTGTGCCAGTGCTAAATCCATGGCTCCAGAGTGTCTTTACATGACAACATTCTCCTCATGTTGGATGCATACTACAGTATCATGATGCCCATGTGACCTGAAGTGTATTAAAATCTCCTTACAGACAGGTATGCAATGATGTATTCTGTCCAGAGTTTTTTTTTCCTTAAGAATCAAAACAGTTTAAAATGGTTCTGAGGAAAATTGTTGAGCCATATGTGTTTTTAAACAGAGAAGCAATGCTGAACCAGTGTATAGCATCCAGTGGAAAGGAAAACAAATACAGTATGATCTGTAATACTGCCTGTACTCTGGAGCTGAGCAACTTCTTTGGAACTATAAAGAGATTTGAGCATGCGTTTATTTATTAATTATTATTTTTTTACTTAGATCTGTGCCATTTGCAGCAAGCCCTATATCGCAAACTTGCTGCCATGCTTGCTCATATTGTGCAAAATAACGTGGCTGAAACATCACTCAGCACATCTAAATCCATGCCTGTATGTGTAATCAATGTGCACATAGCCACACATTTGGGGTTCTCATTTTCAAAATGATACAATCTATCGGCATGGCTGTGTGCTTTTTACAGTAATTTAAGCAGGTAAAAAAAATCAGATAGTGAATATTCTGTTGCACATGCTGATACTCTTTTATTTTCCTGTTTCTTATAGACAATGATAATGAGAATTGATATTTTTACATGAAGAATTTCATTATCCAAAAATAACCTTAATGCTGACATGCAGAACTGGTGTAGCAGAAGAAGCATATCTGATCCAAATCATCAATTGCTCTGTAATTACAATGGCAATACAAAAATGAAGCAACCTTACCTTATCTCAGGAGAGTCTTTTTGCTCTATCCCAGGCAGTTTCCTGTCCTTATTCAACTAGAAAGGGAGAATCCACTTAAATAAAGAAAGATAAGGACTAGAAGAGTGAGGAATTTAAGGAGCTCTCATCTGAACTGCTGATCCACTTGTTTTTAGCAAATTGCAAAAAACCTTGATCCAGCAGTAGCTCAGAGCGACTTTCCTATCCTCGTGTGTTCTGTGGGCTGAGAATATGCAAGAATAAACCTGAGATGGTGCTGCAAGAGAGAGACAGTGGGGGGGACCTTGGCACAGAGTTGGACCAAACTCTAAATATAGCCCAACCCACTTTCTGTGCAATTCTCTTCATACTCTGAAGGCAGATGACCTTGTCAGAAAACTGACCTCTTGCTATGTCCCCCTCTTAGTAGAGAGGATCTAAGGGAGCAGGATTGCAGCATAAAGGGACGGAAAAGCAATCCACTGTCTGCTTGCAGCAAATGAATTTAGGTATGTGCTCTTATTTTCATGGCAGTTAGAACTGATGGACTCATAATGTGCTTTATTTGATCATTTAAACGAATGAGCTGCATGTCAGTTCACAAAGGGCCTGTGCAGATGAGAGATTGCATTGTAATTGTTAGTCTTAAATAGAGAGCACTGACATAGATGACAATCCCGACGTCTTTTCTCCTCTCAAAAACCCTAATGCATCAGAATGTGCAGTACTGCCCTAAATGCTTCGCCCTATAAAAAATTATCCCTCCTTTCATTTGCTCTTTTAATAAGTAAGACTTTTTGAAAAAGTGAGTTAAATCCATAAATGTATATTCTAGTACTGTATAAATTTGAGATGCTAGGATAGCTTAAAAGGGAATGAGAACCTGCAATATCAGAGATCAAACTGCAGAAAAATGTGAAGTATATACAGAGGAGGAGGAAGCAAAGAATAAGAGGCATAGAAATATAACCCTTGTGCCTTAGATAGGAAACTGTTTTTCAACAGATGTTTTATAATCTGGGGAATTTGCCACTCTAACTCTGTGGCAACATGTCAGGGTATTTTGTTCTTAGCCTAAAGGAGAGTTTAACTTGATATGAGTCAACCTGATACTCTGTCAAATGGAGGCCTGATACTTCTATGTCATATGAAGGCTTCTAAATAAAAAAAGCTGCAGAAATCAGAGCAGCTTAAAATGTCAACTCTCATGTTGTGTGTAAAGATGGGTGGGAGAGTTGGGATAAGAGGCTGTTTGCAGTGTTGTTCTTCAGTGGGATATATTATTTGGTGGTGACACCTCTCTGAGTGTATGCTGCATTATATGCATGTGTGCAGTTTTCCATGTTCAGAGAAAACCTGAGAAAAATCAGGACGGTGATAACTGCATACTATAGATGTGTGCATCTGCAAAATATCCATAAGCCAAAAAGGTGGGAATGGTATCAGTAGTCAGTAAAGTAGCAATGTGTCTCTGTGAACAATAATTTGTTCTGTTAAGTTTTTGTGAAGTGTGCTATATATCCTTTTTAATTGCAGCCTACTATTTTTGGCAAGTTCCACTGTGTAATTTTGTCATGATGTATAGACTTGAAGTGCACAGGATCAGCCAGACTCTCACAGCAAGAATTACAGCTGTGAGCCACAGCTGCTTCCCAATACAGACAACAGTAAAAAAGCGCGAATCACTGGCAGTATTAAGGGAGATAACACATCTGGGACCATGCTGCATTCCTGGCTAAAACTCGCTCATTTCAGACCTAGGCTAGACCCCAGCCATTAAGTAGTTTTATGGATTTATCCATGTTCATCTTTCCTCCCAGTTTACCTGTTTCTTCACCATTAATACAAATAAATGTTTGTCAGAAGTTAATAGGATAACCAATGAAGAATGCTGGTGTTTGATTTTGAAGAGAGGACCTGAAAAAGGAGCAAGTCCACCTCCAGATAGGTGTATATTGAATAGCACTGTGTAAGTAGTGAAATTCTGAATGTACAGGTCACCAACATCACTAAACATGGATAGCATTATGCTGTCTGTGCTCCAGGGTGGTACCCTCATGAGAGCCACACCAACCCTACCAGTTCCAGCTCCACAGTGCCACTGTCAATTCTATCCCTCTCTCTAGTGCCAGGATATTGAATTTACCACAGAACCCTTCGTTCAGACCAGAAAGGTGATGAGGATTAAGGAGGGGTATACTTCCCCAGCATGAGGAGTATACTCTTCACCCTCTTTTTCACCAGCTTTTCACTCTCTGCAGCAAACAGCAGCTTCCGTACATGATAGATTCTTAGTTCTTAGAAAAAGAAGGAATCACAGTGCTTGGTGGGTCTCAAAGCACAGGCACAGTCATACTTTGTCAGGAACTGGGCCATGCACTTCTCCCATAGGAATATTGTGGAGAAGGAGTGATTTCTTGCTCATACGAATAATACACTGGTTGGCTTTGGGCAGGGAGTTAATCTTTGGGAAGGCTGTTATGGAGTGGTGCTGTTCATGTGTACAGGGCTCTAAATGCTGCGTGACCAACCCCAGTGATGCAAACTTCCTGGAAGAAGGGGAAAAGGCTATAAAAGTGGTTGTATGTATTTAAGATGGATGGAAAAGTGTTTTGTTTGACAGCTGTATAAACTCAAGTTTTCTTTAGGATTATGTTAATTTTTCTGTGTGCACCATGAAGAGGAAAATGCAGTAGAGAGTCTGGCCATAGTTTGTGCCTAGCTTTTCCTGAGCTCTTAACTTGTGTTTTCCTTACGATTCTGATTGATTTTTCTGCTTATTTTTTGACAGTTTTTAACTGCCCAGACTTTTTTTGGTAGCATTTCCTCTGGAATGTGTTGGGTCTGACTTTTCCAGAGCCCAGGCAGTTTCTTCTTCCAGATGCCTGTGTTGGGATTGAGACTTATTTCAAGCCAGGCTTGTGGGATTTTCCCTCAACACAGTTAAACATTCTGTAACTAGTATGTGTGAGCTGATTTTTCTTTTGATTAACCCCAAATTCCTAGATATTTGTGGTTGTTTAAATATCCCACAGAGCATGTACAAGGTGAGATTGTGAACCATAATGGATCAGACAGTTTTAAGTGTGGTCAGCTGTATCCTGGCTTGTCCTGTTCCTCTGCTTTTCAGAGTTGGATAGCATTGTCTTTTTAGCATAAACTGTTGCACAGAATTGCTGGTACCCTTTTGAGTGGTTTCTAAACTGAATGTATGGTGTGCAATGTGTGGCTTCTATCAGGAAGAGAAACTCTTTTTACAAGGTTAACATTTATAATGTTCATCCAGTAGATTTGAAAATAGCCAAAACCCCATGCTACTTAAACAAAACAGCCTCACATTTCCCCATCTCTCTCTGCTTTTGAATTAAACTTGGAGTTATAAGAAGATTACGGGAAGTTTCAGCATGAAGGATCATTTTTGAGAGAACAAAAGAAAAAGAGTAGACTGAAGTGATTTGTGGATGTTATCTCAGCCTTCACTCATGATACCGCTGGTGAAGGATACAAACAACAAAACTGATTTGTACCCTGTGCTGAAGTCTCTGGTTGCTCTTTTTTGGCAAGGTCATAATGAAGAAACTAAATTGGATGGCAAACAGTAAAAGGACCTGTCATGTTCCTATCATGTCAAATCCTCATGTTTGTCCTTTGCTTACCATGAGTTTGAAAACTCCAGTGACCAAATGAATACTGAGTTCTCTGTGCTTACCTTGGTGATGCTATTTCCCATTGTCCGAGGCAGAAGTAGGATGTCAAATTCAACCTTCACCTAGCAAGTGAAAAAGTATTATTCTTATAAGAAGGAGGGTGACGTACTACTTTTTACAGTGGCTTTTCTACCACCTTTCTGTCTTACAGGCAAAATATAACAATGAAAAAGTAAAATTTTTAATAGGGCGAGGTTGTAGCTATGATATAAGCTGGACTTAGCCTCGATTACAAAAAAATTATTTTCCTGTGGCTTACATGTATACAACAGAGGATTTCCTGGTCTTATTCTCTGATACGCACTTTATTTTGTCTCTTAATTCACTCCCATCTAGAAAGTCATGTCAAAAATTTGTTTGGAAGTACCTATTTTGAATATTAAAGGACAAGTGTTTAAAATGGGGGAGATATAGTTGTTAGAAACGTATTGTGGGAAATCTTTTGCATTGCAGATAGTTATGTCTGTGATAAAAAAAAAAATCGTGTCAGAGTATAGTTAAAATTAACTTGATATTATTCCATTAAGACCTGTTCTTTTTTGCTTGAATCGACAGTGATTTTAATTTAAATAATCCATCAGGGTAAAGAAAAGGAACTTAAACTGAATATCCTGTCACAAGATTTATCAGGCAAAGATAGTTGTTTGTGCTAGATATGCCTTTAGAGCTGCCCCAGGAAAGGGTTTGCATTTTTAGAAGAATGTTGTCTTTGACTTTGTAGTACAAGTAGTAGTACAGTCCTTAGGAACTATTACAGGGAATTCCTACAGAGTGATTTGGCACAGGCTAAGCCTGGCTGGAGTGTGGAGAAGTTTATGCTATCTGAATGTTACCTATGGGGACAAAATTGGAGCTCGTTTGATTCTTTGACAGGATTGTGTCTGTTTGTGCCGAGTCCTACATTGTCTGCCCCTCAGGTGTGCCTCACAAGCACAATTGGAAATACCTTTTTTAAATACCTTGGGAGGTAAAGTCTGCAGTTTGAGGCATCCTCGCAGATATCAAAATTTACTGTTGTGCTGGAATGCACCTGTTTTGGGAAAGAACTCCTTAGTTCCTAGAGATTGGAAGGCAAAACTGCCCAGACCGTGGGGACTGTGGTTTGGGATGATGGAGCACTGGTACCATGTATAATTCCTATGGAGGTTGTCTCAGGCTGAGCAGAGAGGCAGCTCTGTCCTTTGTTGCAGTAGGCTGAGAAAGTCAAAGGAGTGGCTACTAACTTGTAATAACCTGCAACAGAGATTTCTGTGTAGCTTGGTGCTTCCTAGTGACAATAACAGATATCAGTGCATTCAGTGTTCCCTCTTTAGTTCTAAATGGTCAAAATATCCAAATATTTTAAGGCCTTTTGAATGAAGGCACTTCATTTGATATATATATGCTCATTTTGCAAAAGCTAAACTGCAAAAATTGCCTACGTTTTCCATTAAGCTGTAACTTTATGTCTTTTGATACAATTAAATACTATTTTTTCATTTCTTATGAATATATATTCTTGTATTGATTTCTAAGACTAGATCTTGTCTTACTCTACTGTTTTAAATTATTTAGCTAATCCTTATTCAAGGAGGTAAGGAGATATTTTGTTGTTTGGTGATTTTTTTCTATAATGTGTCATCTAGATTTCTTAGTTATGCTACTCACTGCGCT